AAAATAGCAGTCTCTAATATTGATTGGCCCTTTGTTGTGGTAATTTGCGAAAGCCTTCCTCATTTTCTGGTTGCGGCGAAGCATCTGGTGAATTTCACATTCCCATATTATATCGACATTCTTTATATGTTTTTTAATTATTTCCAATCTTTTTCCATCATCTTCACGTGTTTCTCCTACGGTTTTTCCATTCGGCAATACTTTGTACAAATCATCTCCAAAGCATTTTTGGCACGCGTGCCACACACAGCCATTCACTTCAATTGCCCTATCTTCAGCCACAATGTACCCATCAACTTTATATTTTCCCGCCACTATAAATTCCCCACCTTCTGAATGTGCACTTTGAATTTCAACGCCTCTTGTTTCCTCATACCATTGTAGATATTTCAGGGCAAGCTCGCTTTGGTTATCGATGTTTTCATATCCTTTCTCCGGAACAATTGCCAAATGGTCAGGTTGAAGATGATTCAGACGAAAATGTTTCATGCAGGCCGATGCGATTGTCATTGCATCCTTCAAAATATCTATTCCTTCTGCTGCTGGCCCAGACTTGCCATTTTTTGGTTTGCTAATCTCTGTGAATTTTTTCCTGAATGCAATCAGTGCTTCTGTGAGTATTTGGACATCGTTTGTGCAGTATTCGGCCAAGGCTTCATCCAAGCAAAATTGTTTATTTTTTTCTTCTTCATACCATTTGTCAAATTCATTTTGTTTCTCAGGTGACATTCCTCCATAAAGGTAATCGGATTTTGAAGGCAGTTGCGGTAATATTTTATTGTAATTTTCAGGAATATTTGCCAAATGCGGGAAAAATTGTTTTTCTGTAATTTGTAGTCCAAAGGCGCCAACCAGCTTTCCCAAGGCAACTGGACAGAGATTAAACGAATCTCGAAATATTACTTCATTGCATTTGTTGTTGCGGGGAATTTTCAGTTCGTAAAGTTTATTACCGCGACGAATCATTGATGGAACAACTCCTTTTGAATAAATTTCTTTGAAGACCATAATCATATCATAGCGCCCTCCATTGTGTGAAAATGCCACAGTTGTATATTGAGGGTTAAGTTTAAACAGGATCCAATCAATAAATTCTTTTAGAGGGTTTGTTGTGACGATTTGCTGATCGACTGTTGTTTGAGTAAATGGCCGGTGGGAAAATGTGATTGATCGATTATTACCGCAAATTGTACAATTTTTCCCATTTTGTTTGAGAGGTGCACGCCATAATTGATCATCTTCCATACATTTTGTGCAAGTCACTGTTGCAGCAATGAAATTCACTTTGTGAAGTCGCCTTTCTTCTTCGGTAATTTCGTTTATCTTTTCATTTTGTGTTGCTTCAAAGTCAAATGTTACTAGGCGATAATGTGATGGTTTTTTCAGTTCCAGTGGTCGAATAAAGCATCCTCTTTCCATACTGTGAAATTGCCGACAAATTTGACACCACTTTTGCCCACAAACATGTTTCTTTTCACCCTCCCTCTTATAATTTTTCATTGACCAGATGACTCCACATTTCTCACACTGCTTTGTTTGGCGGCAATTGCTGTTTTTTTTGTGATGATTGAAGCAGTCTTCATTTAAATATTTTTTCCCATATTCATCACATTTTTTGAAAAAGTCTCCCGTTGCAACACAAGGTCGGTCACTGCCAATGCGCCCACAAAATCGGCAAAGAGATTTGCATCTCAAATCATGTTCCTTTGATTTCCTAAACTTCTTTTCACACGTAAAGCAATATTTTGCCCCTGATCCAAGCATTCCTCCAACATTTCTTATTGCGTCAAAATGGTTGTTTGTGTGAAGAATTGTAATAGGCATGTTGAAATTTTCATTTCCATAAGTAAATTTTGGCTTTTCGTTGTCGTTTCCAAATATAAATACCTTGAATTTGAACCCAGAATCATTATATTTGTTGTTCCAAAAATCTACAACAGTTGGTACAAATTCCACAGCATCATATTCGAGGAGATTTTGGGGGATTTTTGCTGAAATCAAAAGATTAAAAACATCTTCCATTTGTCTCTTTTTATTTTGCATGTATCTTGTAAAATTCCAACGCGCACCCAGTTCTTTAGTAAAATATTTTCTTGCTATTTCCAATGCATAGAAGAGGCATAAGTTGTTGGGGTTATCGATTTTTATTAGGCAGGGGCTATTTATTTGTAGATTACTTGTTGCTAATATTTGCGGTGCGCGGCCTCTAATTGATTTTGTTCTTGGAAGAGAGGAGATTCCAAGTGTTTGAATTGCTATTGTGAATGGTTGCCCAATAAGAGAGCCTTTTTCTATCTTTGATTGTGAAACAAGCTGGAAACGATTAAGTATGTTGTCGATCGTATCATTTTCAATTTTTCTTATAGGAATCCATATGTCGCTGTCTAATAGCTGTGACGAAATTAATGCCCCCAGGCATTCAGGTTCTATTGATTTATTTTTTGCTTCTTCAACTGTTTTATCCATACATTGTTGTATTATTTCTCGAAGCAATTCCTCCGGATTCTCAGGTATTTTTTCTATTATAAATTTTCCAGTTGTTTTCATCATTTTAAATTTGCTGCTGTAGTCAGTTTCATAATCGATTTGTCGGTAATAATTTTTTAGGGTATTTGCACCCGCACCGCTTTGTACGTCATTGAATAAATGAGGAAGGATATCGCGGATGAGGAATCTAGCGCGCTTATTGGCAGGTGCAGTTTGTCCGTTATTAAATGCCATTTTTGATTTTTAATTTTTAATTGAAGAGAGCGTTTTGTTTTTGTTTTTGAGACAAATGGTTAAGAATGACAAAAAACCTCGCCTTTTATACTCCTCGTTTCAGGCGGATGGGTGATTACGAAATATTTTTTGTCAAGGTCACGTGATGCGGAACTGGTAAAATTTGTTCCCTCTACAACTCATAATCATCAATCTGTCAGATAAGATCTTGAGATAAAAGGAAAAAATTTTTTAATAACTTACTTTACCTTATTTCATAAAATTGAAGGTCATTTTATTAAAAAATTTTCCCGCTCAAAATTTGTCTGCCCAAAAACTCATTAATCATCAGACAGTTAGATAAGATCTTGAGATAAAGGGTAATTTTTTAATAAGTTAGCTTTTCCTTATTTCGTAACCTTCAAGGTCATTTATAAATTATCCAAACTCTGTCGGCTACAAAATTTGAGCCTCAAAAACTCATTAATCATCTATTAGATAAGATCTTGAGATGTTTCGAAATAATTGGTTGAACCCCCTTACATTCTGACTTCCGCCCTTTTTTGCAAATCATTTTTATTTTTTTGCAAAATTTTTAAATTTTATTTCTCCCTATTATTTTTATTTAATTAATATTTCTAATTTTAATTATTTTTAATTTTACCGTACCCCGGACCCCTGCCCCAGCAAATTTTCAGTCACAGACTAAAATTCCCAAACCCATATATTTCAGTCCCAGACTGAAATTCCCAGACTCAAAAATTTCAGTCCCAGATTGAAAATCTCAGACTCAAATATCTCAGCCCCAGACTCATTAATCATCAGTCAATTAGATAAGATCTTGTATGTTTCGAAATAATTGGTAACTCCCCCTTACATTCTGACTTCCGCCCTTTTTTCCAAATCATTTTAATTTTTTTATAAAATTTTGTAAATTTTATTTCTCCCAGTAATTTTTATTTTTTATTTAATATATTTTTTAATTTTTATTATTTTTAATTCTACCGTACCCCGGACCCCTGCCCCCAACATTTTTTCAGTCCCAGACTGAAATTCCAGGTTTCAGCCCCAGACTTTCAGTCTGGGATTGAAACCTTGTACAGGTATCAATCAACTTAATCACCTGTCACCCATCAATCAAACACTTGTACCTTGTACAAGTACAAGGTACAAGTACCTTGTACTTGTACCTGTCAATCAAATCTGACACACCGGGAACCTGAAAGTACCCCACACCCTTTGGTTTCCTTTGATCCCGACTTCATCCACCAAAATGTTGCACAACGTGCAACGTTTTGGTACCCACCAAAATGTTGCACAACGTGCAACGTTTTGGTGGTACCTTGTCCCAATCAATCAAATCCTGTCACTTGTCATCATCAATCAAACACTTGTACCCATCAATCAAAACATGTCACCTGTCTAATTAATGACCCAAACCTTTTGATTATGCCGCAAATTAATGAGGATGGGTCCGGGAAAACCCCTACACCCTTGGGTTTCCCTTTGATGTTTCAAAATTCCGCCTCCAATTTGTTGCACACCTGTGCAACAAATTGGGGGGGGGGGGTAACTACTTTTAATAATTTTGTTTTGAATTTTTATTATTATTGTTAAATCAGGTTTTAATAAATTGGATTAGGTATTATCTAATAACCAGTCGCATTCTTGCTTATGATCAGAGATGAATCGGAAATAATGAAGGTCCGGAAATCGGAACTGTCAAAAATCGGAAATGGCGCAAAAGTCGTAACTCGGAAGTCGGAAATCGGAATTCCGATTCGTCTCTGCTTATGATCAATAAAACCCGCAATAAAGTAATACCTTACTACGAGATTCCAGATTTTGAAAATTAAAATTTATAATATTATTAAATTATGATTGTAAAAATTATGATAGTATCTTTAAATATTCAAATAATTATATGTTTAAAACGGAGATTTTATCGTATTCTTAGACAGACAGTAAATATACGAGATTAAATGAATTCACTGATTAGTAGAACCCAAATAAAGTTATTACTGTAGAAAGGATTTTTAAGTTTAAGAAAATCTAAATATTACTGAAAATCTTCAACTTCATTTAAAATTCTAATTAATTATATTTAAGTTACTCCATCGTAACCTCAAATTTATTTTAATAACACAAAGCGGATTAATAATATTTGAAGCATTAATAAGGCTATTCTTCGTTGGTCCAATAAAATATTTTACGAGGGACATTTTTTGGTCTCAGACTGAATTTAGGTATTATTTAAAATTATTTGGATTTAATAAAATTTATTTAAAGATTTATCCCAATAAAATTTCTTGTACAACTTCCCATATTTTCTCGCATGATATTTTGTCATCTAATTATTGTTGAAAGAATTTGTGCCACAGTTTTTATAAAATGTTATGAAACTAAGAACGGAAGAATATTTACAACCTCATGGATTTTTTTTTGTAGGGGCTATTTTAATTTTTCGGATATTTTATGTTAAATATTGAGGTTCCGTTCTATGAGTGGAGATACTATTAAAAATAATTTTCAGTGTTTATATGACAGTCACCAAGCAGGCAATGATCCTGCAGCCAATCTTTGATCATACCTTATTTATACAGGGATATAGCAGATATAAAATTAAATTCAGATTTTTGAATTGAGGATTCCTGGCCCAAAAAACGTCGAGAATTCCCATTTTCGTAAATATCCCTTGTTCATTTTTTTAAATTTTTATATAATTTCACAAAACTTTCAGTTAATTCTGTCAACATTAAACTTTATTCATAATGAAGAAGATGAAGCAAATGATAATTTATCTTCTCAAAATGTGACATTATCTAGTGCAATAATTGCTGTATTGCTTGCTTTAATAGGATTTTTTGAAATTATTGTACTAAATAGATTAATATCAAATAAATACTTAATAAGAAATTTTAAGTTGATTGGAGTAATATGGAAGTATAACAAGAATAAATTAAACGGATTCTCAAATACAAGTCTATCTATAATTGGAGGTAAACCTGTTGTTGTAATAAATGTTTATAGGAGAACATCTGAATATAAGCTGAAAAAGCGTTATCAGGTAAATTATAAAGTTTGTTAGGGATTTAAGTTGAAAATGAAAACGTCTGTGGCATTATTGGGATTTAAAGCATTAAGGCTGCGTTTACAATGGTACCCGTGCAAACGTTCTGTAGAAATTATTCTTCTAATTTACATTTAATTTTTAAAGTATTTGGAAAACATGCGCAGCGCTTTTCAATTGGCGCCAACAATTCTTGCATATTTCGTTGCGAGTGTTTTGACAGCATTTTCGCAAACATTTTATTCAATTATCTTTGAAGCAGATGACTTTACATGTGAAATAATTGTTAGTTATTAGTATCATAACTTTTTTTAACAAGCTAGTCAAGAATTCTAATTCTTGTATATTATAGTTTATTTAATGCTCAATCCAATGATAGCAGCATTAAAAATATCAACCCCTTGATAAGTTATAGGGCTGAATGAATGAGCCGGGACTATAAGGAGGTGGACAATCTACCTTGTAGCTTTGATGGGGTTTAAGCGGAATTGATAGAAATATATTTACATATGAGTTATTTCTGCATTGATAATAATAGATAATTCATAACTATGCAGAATTTTAGTTATTTCTGAATAGTTATGAAAAACATATCAGAAATTTATGAAAACAGCAAAAATAATAATTTACTAAATAATTTTAGTCACAATTGAACAATTTGTTTATTGCGTTTATTAACTTTTTTATAATTTCAACAACAATTTTGTAAGCTGAAAATATTTTTTATTCCATTATTACATATATCAAATCATTTTAGTTTTCATAAAATTCTAAGAAAGAATTTCTTCAAAATTTTTAACCAAGTATTTTGTTGTGCTCCTAAAATAACGAAATCTCTGGAGAAGAGTACAATAAATAAAATTACTCCAACTGAGGCACAACAACAAACTGAAAAATATTTTTCAATGTTGAAGAGGACTTGGGATTAATTCTTATAAATTTTAAAAATATATTTTGATTTAAATAATCATGTATGTAAATTTAAAACAATTTTAAAAATTTTGTATAAAACTAGTGTTGCGAGAGATCGAGGTTTTTCGAAAAAACCGAGACCGAAGATCACCGAGATTGAAAAAGCCGAGGTTGACGGTCAAATATGAGGCGCGGTCCGAGGTTTCAGGATAACCGTGGTTTTTAAAAAATTCTAATCTTTTGAAATTAAATTTGCTAAATTTATCAAATATCAATGAAGCAAAAAAGTGAATTTTTTAGGCCTACAGCCTTACAAAATTAAAAAAAATTACACTTATTATTTATGCAGCTTTCAAAAATTTTTCAACATTAAATTTGTTACAATCCTTATCATTCCAAAATTTATTTAAATCAATTATATTCTTTGATTTTTCTTCAAACTGTTTAGTAGCATATTCACATATTTTGCAAATTGGAGAATAATCATAACCAAATCTTCGTTTTGTATATATTTTTGTCCATTCAAAATGTCTGTATTTTAAATGAACTTTACTAGGCTGAATAAATTAATGTTCCCATGATAGATATATTTTTGTGAGAGAAAGCTGAGACACATACTAACACAATTAGTAAAACTTTATCTAATCCTATACATCAAGATTTTTGGACGGGAGTCGAGCCATTTGATAACAAGATCGAGCTCTTAAAGAATCTTTATCTTAATAATCGAACCACACGAGAACTCGGTAGGTATTTTCACTACTCGAACCCTGTACATTTTTCAGTACTAGAGACCGATAGTTTTACTAAGATTGAGTTTTATCTGACCGTACTCAATTTTTTTAATTTACTTTAAATATCTTTCGGTATCATTTTGCAAAGCCTTTAAATGTGCAACAAATTCATTTACTGATTTAAAATCATCCAAAGCAATAAATGCATTAGAAGGAACATCCATTCCTTCAAAAACAGATCTACTAAAAACTACAGGTACTGTAAGTGATCTTAACGAATTCCAGAATTTTTCTGTTACATAATTTTGACAAATATTATTCTCCAATGCCAAATAGAACATGTGGGTTTCTAAAAATAATTATTAATTAGAGTTATATGGTGATAGACACTTTAGGCCCAAGGCAATACAAATGCCAAAAATTTTATCTACTTTTGCTTATGCGTTTGGGATTTGTAATCTTTTTTCTGGATTTTTGAATCTTTCAAGATCAACACCATCCCAGATCACGTTCCAGGATTTTTCTAGAAATGCATACAGCTACTAATTGTGGATGAAAATATCTGTTAGCTAATTTCAATCAAATTTAAATTACCTATATTACGGTTATAGCATTCATCATTGCACCCTCTTCTAAAACAAATACCAACAACCTCCAATCCTATCAGCTTTTGTAGTCTTGTTGAAATAAGATCACGACCAGATGTAGCATTACAATGAGAAATTGCTTGGAAGGCCAATTTTGTTTTATTTTTAACTCTTGCCACAACCTTTAATTTGTTTTTATGATTAAACTTTCGCATTAAAAGTATTCTGGGAAGTCTAAATGATATCCCTGATAGGAAGATTTATATTCACTAATGAAAATCCTTTTTAAGAAGGATTGCTTCTTATTAGAGTAAATTCGAGTTACTCAACTCGACCGCTCGGGTCTCTTGCGTAATTACTCGATTCGAAACTCGGGATTCTAGTAATCGGATTACTCAAGCTCGGAAATTTGTTACTAGACTGCTTGGCTTAATCGAGTATTTTTATGCCCCTATCTGCGGCACAAAAAAAATTTTTGTCTAAAGGATCTTCCAGATTTCTAAAAATCTTTGCTTGGCACTGAAAAATATAGAAATTCTGATCGTTGGACTTTAAAACTTCTCAAAATTTTCGCCTGTGGCGCTAAAAAGGAAGATTTGTGTATATTGGAGGATTTGAATGGAGTTAGGTGGATTTTAGTGATATCCGTATATTTCAAGGGATCTAAAGGAATAGCGAGTGATTTGTGTTTCTAAAACTAGGGTGTTCCCAATTGGCCTTCAGAAATTCTCAAAATTTAAGCTAGCGGCACGAAAAAAGAGGGACAGCGCAACGGATCTCATGAACACCTTTCGACAATATACATAATACGACGATATCCAAATTAATCTTCGAATTTCCCAGATTTTGCTGCTAATACACCCAAATATCACTATAATCGGTGCAAATTTCTTTTAATCCCTTGATATCCATCTCATTTCTCTTATCACCTGATATCCCCTTAATCTATTTATTTTCAACTCGGAGCCCGGTGTCAACATGGGTCGTGTGCATTTCATGGGATTTCGGCGGATTAAGAGGGATATAGACGGATTAACAAAAATAACTGGGATTTAGATAATGTTCTACCACATTACTGTCAACAAATGCCCAAAAAACAGCCCCGATGATGAATAGTCTTTAGTAAAAGTACTATTTTTATTAAAATTATTTTAAATTCGTCTACTCGAAATCGACTTAAAAAGATGAGCTAGAGCTCAAACTCGCGTTTTTCAAAGTTGTATTACTCAAGCTCGTTTTTCCCAATTACTCGGTACTCGACTTACTCTACTTATTAATATCTCGGGTTTCTTTCGTAATCGCTCGGGTTTCTTGCGTAATTACTCGATTCGAAACTCGGGATTCAAGTACTCGGATTACTCAAGCTCGGAAATTTGTTACTCTCGGTACTCGACTTACATCACATTTCTCTTATCATTTCTCTTATCACTTGACTTCGAAAAACACGAGTTTGAGCTCTAGCTCTAAATTTATTTGGGAGCATTTTTACCTCTTCTTGATCCCAAATATATTCTTTTGGAGTAGTTGGAGTAATTCTAGTTAAAGCATCATATGGAATAAATACAGAACTATCTAAACGATAGGTAGCTGAACTATTTAAAAATTTGTTTGTTAGAAATTTTCTGTCATAATGTCTCAAAGTTTCTGTAGGACTTTCAACTGTATACATCATATAATTTTGATCTTCTCTGCGATTCTGGGGCCATTCGTTTATTAAACAAAATACATGTATAAAGAAAAGTATAGTTGAAACATTCATCTCACTTGAATAATAAAACATCTATATAGGAAAAGAAGTGTTTGTTATAGTTGATAATAATTTACCTAATCGAGCCCAAATACTCGGAGCTTGAGCTTGATCAATTATTTTTGAACTGAGCTTAAGTTAATCTCGAAATAATATAGCTCGAAACACCTAATATTGTTGCATATCTTATCTATCCTATCTTGCTATTTCTGGTGTTTTTTATTTAAATCCAAACATACAATTTTCTATCGTTAGTAAAAGTGCAATTGAAAGGACATTTAATGTTTGAATTAATCACTGGATAATCTGGATAACCAATTCCTTGACTTTTTACTTCAATACATTTATTCCAAATCAAAATTGGGGGCATTTTCTGCTTTTTAATATTTATCTTAATTAAATTTAATTAAAAATTAGAAATTAAATAATTTACGTAGTTTTTTAAATGCTTTATATTTTCAAATTTATAGAGTTTGAGTTACTCGACTCGACCGCTCAATTTTTTTCGTCATTACTCGGGCTCGATACTCTGGATCCTAATACTAGGATTACTCGAGCTCGAAAACAAGTTACTCGAAATACTCAGTTCAAATCGAGTATTTTCATGCCTTATCTTCGAGGCAAAACGGAAGATATTTAGCTTGAGGATCTTCCAAATTTCTCAAAATTTTCGCATGCGGTGCTGAAAATGGAAGACTTAGTATGTGTATATCGGAGGATTTGAATCAAGTTAGGAACGGAAAATTTGAATGGATTATACAAAATACCCCGAAATAAAATTATCCATCAATTTTCAACCCGAAGCGTACTCGACGTACTCTAACTCTTATACCAAGTCCCCTTAAAAATATCAAACTTTTTTAAAGTCATACAATCTTTTAATTATCTCAAGGAATCATGTCCTTTAAATTCAAACCCCTTTGCGGATTCCTGAAAATATAAATAAGCATACCAACTTATTTAAATCCTTTAAAATTTAATTAATACCGCCTTAGACGATTTGAGAATATAAAGTTGATCTTGTTGGTTATAATTTAGATAATATAATGAATTTATTATTAACATTATAAATAGAATTAGACAACAAATAAATTTTGAAAAATCTATTAATTTTGGTTAAGAAACTGACAAAAATTCAATAAATAGTCTAAAAGTTTTATAAGAAAATTATTTTATTTATTTTAGCTAAACCACGTTACTTAATTCTAAAAAAGTCATTCAACAATAAATATATATGCAAACATTTATGTCAACTTTTTATCCTTTCTTTAGTAATGTAACGTTAATGATGACAATGTTAACTTAATGACAATGTTAACTTACAACTATAGCCTTTGGACTCCACACTTCGGCATTTACGGGGCCTATTTTAAAATGAGTGTTCCAGTAAGTGGGGTCTGGGATTCTCCACATCAAAATTTCTTCAAAATCTAGATTTTTACTCCATCCTTCTGTATCGTCTTCAATTCTACTGATTATAAACTCATCTCCCCAATTAGACACCAATTTTCTCCCTTCTAATATTGCAGCCGAACCTTCTTCCAACGTAACTCCTGTCACATTTTTACACCTAGTCCCAAAAATAGAGTATTCCTTTTCCCAATCTGTATAAGTCTGCCACGTATTTTCCCCTCTTCTTTGTAATAACTGGTGGTCCCATGTATCTCAACACTCATCCTTCGAAATTTCTGAAAAATATATGTTCGCGTCCTTTTCTTTTCGATAAATTCCAAAATAGAATTCAGTGCACATGCGGATATTCCACCTATGGCATCTGAAAATCGCAAATTTCTTCGGCAATCTGATTGGCACAAAAATATTAATTTTAGCTAATTCAGTAACGTCTTCAAGTGGTATAGTGCAATTATGGTCGGCGGGAAAATCCATAATCACTCCCGATGCCTCCGGGTAATCTCTGTTACATATTTGGAATTGAGCGTTCATCATTTGCATTAAAATGCATATTATCGTTAAAATGCACATAAATATACGGGAAGCTAGTTTCACTGACTCTATATCCCCCTCTTGAAAAATTTCCTCTTCCCCTAAAATTCGTTTCTCTCGTATTCGTTATTGGCACCGTACTTGGGTTCCTGTTTTGTCCTGTAGGCCATCTATTTCCCCTCGCATTTCGAAAATTTCTAAAATTGTCGGTTCCTCGGTATGTTTGGTTCCAGGCTGGCGCTCTATTCGACTGCCCTCTTCTCCATTCACCGCTACTATTTCCTCTATTCCCCCATCCTCTATTGTTAAAATTTTGCCTGTTTCCAAACTGTCGATTTTGTCGGTTTTTGTCATACGTCCTAGTGTTTCACCGGAACCGAAATTTTGACCGGAACCGAACCGGATCCAATTTAAGTACCGGTTCCCGGAACCGGAACCGGATCCAATTTAAGTACCGGTTCTCGGAACCGGAACCGGAACTTTTCCAAGTTCCGGCCCGGAACCGGAACCGGAACTCACCAACTTCATGATATCCTCTGATCCCCGAATTTCTTCGAATTATCCTTAATCCCAACAGATCCCTAGATATCAAATCACCGATATGCCATTATAACTATTGATACATCGAAATCCCCAAATGTCACTCCAAATCTCAATTAATAAATGCGAATTTTAAATAATACCATATTTATCTTTCTTTATTAGCGCCGCAGGCGAAAATTTTGCGAATTTAGGAAGTTCAAGTGAGAAATTCCAAGTTTTGGAATGCCAAATCACCAGCTATCCAATCCCTGGTATCTCCTTGCCAGCTCAATCCCTCGACATCACACCCAAATGCTTCTATATTACCTATGACCTCTTGAACTAACATAATGTAACTCAAAATCTATCTTCATCCATCCATATCCTCCGATATACCAGCCAACTTACAAAAATTTTGGGATTTTAGGTGAACAAAGGATACATATTTCTTCCTTTTTCAGCGCCGCAGGCGAAAATTTTGAGAATTTGTGTGTACAGGGAGCTAGATTTCTTCGTTTTCTGGCGCCGCAGACGAAAATTTTGGAATTTTGAAAGGCCAACCGGTGAAAATATTGCAAGGCCAACCCATATTTTTTTAAAAAACTAATCGTTAGGGGTGTAAAAAAGTTCCGGTTTGGCCGGAACCGATTTGTAAACCGGAGCCGGAACCGGAACCAATTTGAGTTCCGGTTCCCGGAACCAGAACCGGAACCAAAAAAACACCGGAACTTTCCGGAACCGGAACCGGAACTTCCGGTGAAACTCTAATACGTCCCCTCTCTATTTCCATTCGCTCTTATTTCACTCACTTCCGCTAAAGTCGCCTTTACTTCTTTTTCTTTTGTCCTTCGCCATATATCATCTTTCATTGTATTATTTAATTCTTCCACTCTGCGCGCCTGCGCCACCGCCATCGATAGTGTAGGGGGCTGGTCCATGAAAATCACTTTTTCTTTTATCTCCGGCAGCAAACCAGCGCGAAAGCGATCACTGCACTGCTCGTCGCGGAACCGTTTAGTCATCACTCCCAATTCTCCCTTCACATTATTAGATATTGCCACGTCAAGGTTTGAGCCAGCCAAATCCACATCCAGAGATGAATCCGGATAAGCTCTCTACACTAAGTTGCGTAAGGCCTGGGCAAATTCCTCCACAGACTCTCCAACGTTCTGCCTCCTCTCAATCATTTTCAATCTAGCCACCTCTCTTGTCGAGATTTTCTTCAATCTGTTTGCTAAGCCTTCCACCAAATTTTTCCAATTAGTCTTCTCATCCTCCGGCATCCCCTCATAAACAGCCAAAGCCGCTCCCCTCAAATATATGGGCAATATTTGACAGCATCTTGGAGGCTGCCAACCATGGCCAGTCGCCAATCTGTTGAAGGACTTCAAATATCCCAGAAAATCATCACTTCCATCAAACGGCTTCGGGTAGGGCAAACCAGACGAGCCCAGTTCCAAATTCAAATCCTCCAAATTTCTCACTTTTGTCTTTAGCTGGTCCATTTTCAATCTTCTTTCTTCCTGCCTTTGAAGATATCTGTTGTATCTATCTTCTCTTTCAGTCTTCTTTTTCAGCAAATCTTCTATAGGTGTTTCAGATCCTTTTAATTCACTTGTTTCCAGTCTGTTTCGTAAAAATGGAATTTTTGTCCTAAAATTAAACGCGTTTTATTTAATATTCCTTATTTTATTGTCCCAAAATCTAGTCCAACCCTTGTTTGATTTAGTGCTAGCTTTCTGCCCTCTAAGGGGACCTCAAAAATCGCCGGCCGGACCATAATTGAGGCGGTTAGGGATCTTGGGACCTATTTAATGGCCATATTTTTAGCTTTGGACGAAGTGAAATCTACTCAAGGACCTGTACTCCCGATCATCAGTGCCAATTTCACTGTTGGGGGATTGATCTCTGGGCAGAACCGGTTTTTTGCGCGGAAACCGTTCCGACCCTTCAACTCTGCCAACAGGCTTCCACTTCTACCCCTACTACGAGTAAAGCTTCTACGATGAACTTTGGGAGGTTGCTTTATTGGGCCTGGTCCTGCTTTCTACAATCCTTCTGGCAACTCTTTTGGGCCTGGTTCTTAAATAGAATTTTATGAAGAAACGAGAGCAGGATTATCCCTTCATATCCAAACCTTTTCGTTTTACCCTTAATAAGTGAATTGTTTAATGTTGAGGAGGAATAAATTGTTAATTGTTAGCCTTTTTGAAAATTTATCAAATTGGGGATGGGCATTACTCGGCAGAATAGGAGGAGGATGAGCGCGAAATTCGGGGAGAAAGGGAAAAAAAATTAAAAAAAAGTGAGCTGTTTAATGAAATAATTTAATTTATAAATGTTTATGTTCGGCCAACTTGATCACAAGATTTTTCGTTTAAAAATATTTACAACTTTAGGTAAAAATTTGTGGTTGATTAATTTGATTAATTATTTGGGCAAATAAATGTAAAAATTAGGCGTTTCAATCTCGGTAAAGGTAAAATATTTTATAAGAAATTTAATATTGGGCGAATAAAATTACACATATAATTTAATTATTTTGATTGATGGAATTGGATTGGCCATATTTAGAAAAATTTGGCCACTTTTTGTTGTAATAGTTTGTTTCACTAATTTGGCCAATTTTGTTGTTTAATAATTTTTTGGGCAATTTTTTAATTGGGGGGAAAAATTGTGTTTTAGTGGGATTGAGATTAATTTTTTAATTTTTAATTTTAAGGTGATAAAATTTTGGATTTTTGGATTTATAAAAAAATTTTTTAAAGCGCCTTGGGAGCACCATCTAAAGTCCCCGTTAAACGGGTCGGCGTTGGCCCCAGTTGTGGGACGCCACAACTGGGACGCGCCTGTTTTAAACACAAAAAAAGAGCTATTTTTATATAAAATTTATTTAATATCAAAATGTGTGAAATAAAATTGGGGGGAGTGGATGGAGAACCGGCCAAAGGTTCTCGAGACCAAAAACGTAAAACTAAGACTGAGCTAACCGGGCCAGTTCTCCATCCCCTTAAATAAGAATAAAAAAGGGGTGTGACAGCCGCAATCGGCAATTTTTATTTTAAAATCCGCGGACGCAATCCGCAACTCGCAATTTTTAGTTTAAAATCCGAAACGCAATCCGCAACTCGCAATTGCAAAAACCCCGCAATTTACGCAATCCGCAACTCGTAATCCACAATTGCGTGCAGCCCTGGTCACCCAAGTCCCCCAACTTCATAATATTCCTGTTTATCCCTCTTAATCCAGTTAAATTCCCCTTTAAACCCTGATATACTCCTTAATTCAAGGGCGTAGCCAGGGGGTCGATTTCGAAGAAGGTGGGCTAACTTTGGGTATCGCCAAAATTTTGGCTTTACCTTGGCGTTCCAGACGCAAAATCTTACGACATCCCTCATAATACACTAAATCCCACGGTTATCCCTCTTAATCCTTTGATATCACTAATATCTCCTTAATCCACCCAAATCCTCTGAAATAATATATTTTATTGCTTTTCCAAACGGATAAATTCCCCAAAATTCTTTGAATTTCGCATAGATTTTTCGAAATTATAGGTACTTGTGCTGAACTTGGCTGTGATCGTGTCAAAATAATAAGTAAACTAAAAATTTGCCTTATGAGACCAAAAAATTATCTTGAGTCTTGTTAATTTTCGGTCTTGAGTCTTGGGGTCAAGTCTTGATCTTGCGGTCTAGTCTTGATACTAAAAAAATTTAGAAATTGAAAATTTTAGGTTAAAAGTTGAATTACTAAATATTTAAAATTACTATTAAAATTACTCTGTGAATTTTTTAGGGCTTATTTGAAATTTAAACTTTTGTTAACAATCATTTTTACCTTCAGTTTTATGGGAACTATCGGTTCATTGGAATTATTAGTGCATTATTTGAAATTTAATCCAGCAAAGATAATCTATAAACACCGAAAGATTGAAGTTCATATTTCCCAATCATCAATCCAAATCGACGAAAAATAAATAAAAACTTTTGTTAACAAACAATTTTTCTCGATAAATTTTTAAAAAACACCTCGCCTTTTTCGCATTTAATAATAATCTTAAGCAAACATAGAATAAAAAAAGAGTATAAAGAATAAAATGTTCGCCAACACTAAAATTTTAACATTGATTATTTGAATGAAAATAAATTTTAAAGATAACCAAAATTTCTTTCTAAAATTTCTTTTTTAAACTTATCAATCGAAAAGTTTTTCAGCAAGATTAATTTTCAGATTAAGCTTTAAATTTACGAAAATTCGAATGTAAATACTACCTATAATTAAATGGAAACGTGTAGTTCCTAATTAACCAAATGTGATTTTAAAAATTGTTGAGGTTAACTGCGTCATTAAATTAAAAAAATCAAAATCCTTTAATTTTAAGTTAAAAGTTGAATTACTAAGAATTTAAAACAATTATTAAAAATCATTTAAAAAGATAAAATAAATTATAAATATTATATCCCGGTTCCAAGCTAACTAATTAATTTAAATTCTCTCAAACTTTTCGTTGAGGTTCCTAATTTATATTTGAATTGTTTTACTCAAACAAATAATAGACGTTTTTTAATTCAAGTTTATTTTCAACAAATAAATGAGTTTCGTTTAAATCAGTTTTAAAGGTATTGAGTACAAGTATGAAGGTAAGGTCAGTTAATTTTGAGTGGATATTTATATGAATATATGAGGGCGGGATATGAGAGAGCATAACATGTAAGGTTGGTTTATGGGTCATAAATAAGTTTGATAAGGAAAGTTGAATGTTTAACTTAAAAGGAAAATATATTTAAATGATGTTGAGAGGGAATGTTTTAAATATAAAAAGTTTAGATAAAAAGGTTGGAGCGGAAGTTTTTTGAATATATGGAAAAAGGGCATGTTGTAAAAAATGTTTAAGAAAAAACAATTTTAAATTAAGGAGAAATAACATTTAAAAATTGATAACAAAAATTTAAACAAATTAGGGACTCAACACTCCTTTCCCCTTTAGAAGAAATGATGTCCATATTCTCCATTTGTTGTTTCCATTATCTTTTTTTTTACTGGTTTTATTGAAGACGGTTATCAGCCAATTATAGGCCTCTCTAGTGATTGAGATGTAAGAGGTCAATCGTGCATACTTTCTTATTTTCTCTCCTATTACAGGGTGTTTTATTTTTAGTTATTATCTCCAATTTAGGGGTTCATTTCTTTGCTTCTCCGCAATAATGAGCGGGCATATATTTTTTTTTACCGTCTTAAATATTTATATGAATTTGTTGTTTGGGTTTTTTTTTGGATCTCTCCTATATGGAGGTGGTATTTTTGATGAAAGCATGGGAAGCTAAACATTTAACTTTTTGAATTCTTCTTTTCATTCTGGGGCTTTTGTTGTTTTGGTGTTGATCTCTTTTTGGTTAACATCCATAATTTCTTCATTCGCCATTTAAATAATTACAATTACAACGAAAAATTAAAAAATGAATTGGGGGAATTAAAAATATTGAGGGATTTTAAAATTAGAAAGGATAGCGAAAAAAAAAGAAAAATTAAATATTGATTAAATGAAAAAAAAATATTTTTTTTAAAAGAAATCTCATCTTAAGAATCTCAGTCTTTTTCGACTGGGCTGTTACTTCGTGATCTCAACTTATAGTTCCCGCGAGAACGCAGTTGGTCAATATGAGCGATTTTAAATGCTCCACTTTCCATTTCCACTTTGTATATATACTCCCCTCTTTCCTCCAAGATAACGCCTGGGGACCATTTTTCATGGCTTGAATGGTCACGTGCCCATACTTTATCTCCTTTCGAGAATTCTTTTATTCTGCGGGTGTTTCTTTCTTTTATTTCTCCGCTTACTAGTTTTAAATTTTCTTTTGGTATATAGCGAAGTATGTCTATTTTTGATCTAATTTGTCTCCCTAAGAACAAACTTGAAGGGTATTCTCCATCTAATTTTGGGTGTGGGCTTGCTCTATATTCATTTAAAAAGTCAGTGATAACCATTTGAAGGTTATTATTTTCAATTACTTTCAAAATGCTACTTTTGAAGGTTCTAACAAAGCGCTCGCAAAGTCCATTACTCTGCGGATGATAAGGGGGTGACTTAATATGGTTAACTCCATTTGTTTTCAAAAATGTTTCAAATTCTAGAGAAACAAATTGTGGTCCATTATCACTCACCAAAACAGATGGTGGACCAAACATTGAAAAAATCTCGCGAAGTGCGGTGATTATATAGGCTGATGTTGTACTTTTCATTTGGACAACAAAAGGATACCGTGAATACGCGTCAACTATTAATAGAAATGTTTTGCCAAAAACAGGTCCAGCTAAGTCAATGTGTACCCTCTCAAATGCTAATTTTGCTTCTGGCCAGTTATTTTGACTGGCCGTTTGAGGTTCGTTTGGTCTGTTAATCTGACATTTTTCGCACTCAGCTATAAAATTTTCTATGTCTTCGTTTATAGCCGGCCACCATACTATATTTCTGGCTTTTGCTTTACTCCTAACTATTCCAAAATGTGAAGAATGTGAAGAATGTATTAATTTAAGAACTCCATTTCTCAGTTTCTCTGGTATTAAAATTTGATTATTCGGTTTTTTCAATATTAGTTTTCCATTAACAAATAACTTGTCTCTTATTTGAAAATAAGGTTTTATTTTCTCCGGATATGTATCTTGCCAATTTTCTCTAATAGCTTTAAAAACAATCTCCAATATTGGGTCAGACTGTATTGTCTCTTCTAAGGTTTTTCTATTTATACTCTCTACAGAAATTTGCATTAAATAAGGAATTTCTTCCCTCGGATATTTACAAACAATTTCCTCCCATTTTGCTGGGGCTCTTGAAAGGGCATCAGCAACTTTATTTGCGGTCCCCTCTACATATACAATATCCGGCTGTATTTCTTGCATTGCCATTAGCCATCTATTCAATTTAGTGTTTGTACTTGCTTTTGAGAAAAGAAATATGAGTGGTCTATGATCCGTATGAATGGTTAATTTCGCTCCATAAATAATGGGTTTAAAATATGTAATTGAATGGTAAATTGCAGCAAGTTCACCGTGAGTTGCAGGCAATTTTTCCTCAGATTTATTTAAAGTTCTGGACCAAAATCCTACTGCGTGTAAGTTTTCTCCCTCTACGTTTTGCATCAATGCTGCTGCGTAGGCCACTGTTGAAGCATCACAAAACAAATGAAAAGGTAAATCATAATTTGGGGGTCTTAAACAAGGACTTTTTACTAAATTTTGCTTTAATATATTAAATGCATTTTCTTCCTTTTCTCCCCATTCAAATTTCTTTTCATTACCTCTCGTTAAGTTATTTAACGGCCATGCAATTGAAGCAAAGTTCGAGATAAATTTCCTAAAAAAGGACGTTAATCCTAGAAATCTCTTCACCTCCTTCGTGTTAGAAGGGATAGGAAAATTAGTTATTGCTTCACAATTTGTTAATGAAGGTTTATACCCGTCTTTATTCAGTTCATGGCCTAATTATATACATTTATTTTCCAAAAATCTACATTTATCAGCTTTTAATTTCAAGCCTGCTTTCTCTAAGCGATTAAAAACATTGGTCAATGTCTCTATATGTGACTCAAAATCCTCTGAATGTACGAGTATATCATCAATATAGGCAGTAACATTTTCCATATCTTTTAATATTTTATCCATAACTCGTTGGAAAATACTAGGAGCATTTTTTAATCCAAACGGTAAGCGTGTCATTTCATACAGTCCCCATTCTGTGATTATACCACATTTTTGAGCTGTTTTTCTTTCGAGCGGAATCTGCCAAAAGCCCGAAGCCAGATCAAGCGTAGTGTAAAAAGATTTTCCAGCTACGCGGTGTATTACTTGCTCCATTCTAGGAATGGGATAGGGATCGGAAATCGTAATTTTATTTAATGGTCGAAAATCGACACAAGGGCGAAGTTTACCGTCACTTTTCTCCACAAGAACTAGATTACTAGCCCATGGGGTATTTGATTCTTTAATTACTCCCGATTTCAACATATTATTTATATGTATTTTTAATTCCTCTCGGTATTTTTCCGGCGTTCTATAAGGTTTAGCCTGAATCGGGGTTTCGGATGTAGTTATTATGGGAGGTGCTTCGATTTTACACTTCCCTAAATCATAATCATTTCTTGCAAAGATTTTGCAGTATTTATTCAAACAAATTTTTAACTTTTCTTTTTCAGATCTATCAATCTTTATATTAGCTATTAATTTTGTTATTTGGTCCAATTCTCCACAGTAAATTGATTTATTTTCCAACGGAATTTTTGTTAGCTCCCAGTTTGCAAAATTCAACATAAGGGGTAAGCAATTTAATGTTTCTCTACCAATAATGGCGCTATATGATTGATTCTGGGTTACTGTATCTTTGATAAAGATACTGGGTTACTGTATCTTTGACAAATCATAGGAGAACTAAAAGCTGATCCGAAGAAGCAAAATATTGCTAGAATTACAAGCATGTATGGACTCACAGTCCCTATCCTAGGACTTCGGTTTCTCTCAAAACGCACTCTGCGATTTGGCGAACGATGGTTGTAATTATTATTTCTAGTCCTATTTTCTCTCTCCCTACTTGTCGAGCTACTATAATTTCAATTCAATTCAATTTATACGCAATAAAATACGTGACATTCAGATAAAACAATCATTTAAAATATAAGTGAATCATTTGTATTTGATGGTCTGGGGAATAAATAGTTTTACTGTGATAAATTTTTGTCAAAAATGTGAGATAGATCGAGTGTGTTTAAGAGCTTAGGGAACAGATCAGTGGATGCTTTTTGAATATTTGTAGGGAGTTTTCTATAGATATCTGGGATTTTAATGAAAAATGAGTTTTTCCGAATTGTGGTTGAACAAAATGGGATAAAGATATTGTGTGGATTACCTCTAGTAGTGGTTGGTTTGGTTGTATAATAGTTAGGGTGTGAAAGTTGGATTTTGCCGGAGATAATATTGTGGAATAGAATAAGGCTAGATTTTAGACGTCTATGTGATAGAGGTTCAAGTTGAAACAATTCGAGGAGTTTGTGATAGTCAGGTAATTGTTTTGAGTTTTTAGTTTTGCCCGAACGTAAATAAACAATTTGGAGGAATTTCTTTTGAACATTTTCAAGGGAGAGTACATCTTTCTGTAGGTAGGGGTTGAAAACAGGCGATCCGAATTCGAGGATTGGGAGAACGTAAATTTTAAAGAGAGTTATAAGAAAGTTTGGGTTTCTTGTTTTGAGTGATCTAATAATGGTGAAGTAGGTTCTTGTAGCTTTCGCAGTGATAATCTTAATATGTGACTCCCATTTTAAGTCGGATGTGAAGTGGATACCCAAGTCGCGAATGCTTTCATTTTGTTGTGTAATTGGGATTGGTGAGTTTTCTAAGGAGTATTCATGATTTGGATTTTTAGAGCCAATGTGTAAAGATTTGCATTTATTTATTGAGATTTTAAGGCCGTTAATCTTACAATAGTTTGAAAATTTATTAATAAAGTTTTGGAGTGGAGAGTGATAGTTATATTGTGTAGAGTCAAAAGTGAAATAGGCCTTAAGATCATCAGCAAATAATTTAGGTGTGACATGTGGAGTTTTACAAAATTCAGTAAGGTCATATATATATGCAATAAATAGGATGGGGCCCAATAGGCTACCCTGTGGGACACCACTGGTAATATTGTGTTCTTCGGACATCGTTGATTCAACTTGGACAGAGAAAGAGCGGTTATTCAAATAATCTTTAAGCCAATCCAGTAATGTATCAATGATTCCCATCGCTTCAAGTTTTTTGAGGAGTCGATCATGAGGGACTGTATCAAAAGCTTTAGCTAAATCGAAAAATATGACATCAATACATTTCTTTTGTTCAATAGCTTGTGAGTAATCATCAAAAGTTTCTAGGAGTTGAGTTGTAACTGAGTGATTTTTACGGAATCCGTGTTGATTAGGGGGAATAAGTTTATTGGATTCGAGAAAATTTGTTATTTCTTTGGTTATGCAATGTTCTAGTATTTTTGAAGTTGAGCACAATAAAGAGATTGGTCTAAAGTCGATTGGTTCCTTAGGGTTAGAATTTTTTGGAATAGGACAAATAATGGACTTTTTCCAGATCCGGGGAATTTTTTTAGTCATAATTGAATTTCTAAAGATAATGGTTAACGGTGAAGTCAAGGAGATAGCGGTATTTTTTAGAAAGATATTTGGAATGCCGTCTGGTGATGCATTGTTAACATTGTCAAGATTGGAAAGGATGTTAAAGATTTCTTGTGGAATTATGTCAATAAATGATAGGGAATGGGCTTGAGAAATATTGATATCGTCATTGGAAAATATTGTAGAATTAAAGACCGATTGGAACTGTTTAGCCAGTTTATCAGCTTTATCAAAGTCGGAAAGCGTGATGTGATCATTGTCTTTAAATGCAGGAATTTTAGTCTTTTTAGATTTAAGAAAGGCTCCAATATATTGGAATTTGGATCGAGGATCTTTGAATTTAGCCATTTCTCTATTTTGGAAAAATTTGGATGTTTCTTTATCGATTTTATGTTGGAGGGCGAGATATTTAACGCGCATCTCAGGTTTGCTAATTTTTTTCCATAGAAGGTTTCGGTATTTAATCATATTTTGAATATGTTTCGGGATAATGATAGAGTTTTTATTAGTTCTTTTTAGGGGTACAAAATGAGTAATAACCTGCTGAATAATTTGTAAAAATTTGTTATATTGGGAATCGATATCAATACAGTTTGAAAAGATGGTATTCCAGTTCAAGCCGATGAGAAATTCATTAATATAATTATAATCTGCTTTGTTAAAATCATAAATTAATTTGAGTTTCTTAGGCATGCTTTTAAGGTTTAGATGGAATTCAATGCTATTGTGATCAGAATTTTTAAAAGGTGGTTTGATGGAACAGTTTGTAATGCGAAAAGTTGAAGGAGAGAGAATGAGATCTAGTAAGTTGTTATTGCGGGTTGGAGAGCTTATTTCTTGAAAAAGGTTATAATTGTTAATGAATTCAATGAAGGATTTTTCAGTTAATGAGGTAGAGAATGATTTGGGTTTACCAAATGTCCATGTCATGTTGGGGAAGTTAAAGTCGCCGATGATGATAAAATTATGATTAATAGCAATAAGACTACATAGGGTATCAAGGAGAGCTAGAAAATCTTCGGGTTTTTCATTTGTTGTGGGTCTGTAGATTAATATGATTCTGAATTTTTCGTAGGTCGGAGAATATATATCTATTGCTATTAAATCTGAATTTTTAATTCTGGGGGTTTTGATAATGGAAAACGGAATTACATTATCGATTAGAATACATACTCCTCCCCCTTTAGAACCTCTATCACATCTCGCTATAGTGTATGAAGTGTCGTGGAGTATTTGGGAGTTATCGATTTTTGAGTTCAACCACGATTCGGTGATGAGAATAATTTTAAAAGTTTTGGAAACTAAAAGTAACCTAAGGGATTCGATCTTATTGACTAAGCTCCTACTATTGAAATATAAACAATTATAAAAATAAGTAAAATCAGTAAAATTAAAATTTTTTGAAACCTTCAAAGGACGACCATTTATTTGTTTTTTGAACGTTCGGTAACATTTGAGTTCGGATTCAGCTTCTTAAATTCATCACGTTTTCTTGCTCGTTCCATTCTGTCCGCTTCCAACTGTTCTTTTGTTAAGCTTGGTCGAATAAGGAGCCGTGACCAGTTTTCTTGCTTACGCATATCATTTCGACGTCGCTTCCATTCTGCCAAGGAAATCCTTTGAAATTGAGAAGCAGCAAAAATAATTTTAACCAAACGTAAACCTCGATTTGTTGGGTCAAATTTACCCATTCTGTACGAAACGAATGGGGCCTCAACCCCCAACCAGTTGAGAACGCCTTCGGCAGCAGCCTTATCCTCAGCAACACGAATAGAAGGTGTTGTTGATTTAGATTCTGGCAAACCAATCAATACAATTGATCTGCGACGTTCCAATTCAGATGCTGAATTTTCGTTGTTTTTTAAATTTGTTTCTATTGTTGTTTCGATTGTTTGAATTTTAGATTCAATAGTTGTTAAAGCATTTTTAATTTGAAGGATTTCATTAGAAAAAGAAGAAAATTTTGTGTTGTTATTATCGATTTTTAATTCTAATGCAGCCAATTTATCCATTATTTGTTGTAATTCAGATTTTGTTGGTGCCATTTCGGCGTATTTAAAGCTTTTATCTCAAACTCAAACTTGGGTATTTAAATTTTCATAATTTCTATTCCTATTGTACCCGCGATCATTTCTTTGATAATTTTCTCTTCTATTTTGCCTATTTTCTTGATAATTTCGGTTATCAGGTCTACGGGATTGGCTATAATTTGCATATCGATTCTCACTTCTCCCAAAATTTTGAGGCTGGAAATTTCTCGAATTATATTCGGACTTGCGCGAATAACAATCTTTAGCAAAATGACCTGGTTTTCCGCAATAATAGCATTTTTTAGTCTTTTTTCTATCAGTTTTATTCTGTAGTGACAAAGCTTCGACTTTATCAGCCAGATTCGCAACCGAAATATTATTGTTATTATTCACCTTTCTCGCTGAGAGAAGTAATTCATAATGCTGCGCTATTTCGTAAGCGTTAATATAATCTTCCGGCCTCTGAGCTTTTACTTCGAATTGGAGCTCAGGAACAAGTCTATCAAGGAATTCATCCAATAGGCGCCTTTTAATTGTATCTTCATTTTCTCCTGAAAGGGCTGTGCGAACTGTTTCAGAAAGTCGGTTCGCAAACTCAAAGACAGTTTCTCCTGGCGCATGTCTACAATTTGATAGTAATTGCCGTGCAATCACTTTAGTGTTCCCATTCTCGTATTTTCCTTTCAAGTAAGCAATAGCCTCCGCTAACGTCGTAGGTGCGGGATTGATATTGTCGAATGCTACTCTCGCTTGACCGGACAGACAAAAACGCAAACGGGCCAATTTTTGCACTTCGGTAGGCTCGGTCATTAACGAAAGTATATCCTTAAATTTCTCCACCCATTTTGTAAAAGATACGGTGGGATTTCCGTCAAAATTTCCAACAAATGCTCCATTACCTAAGAATGGGTCCATAACAGAAATTTCTTGATTATCCTCCTCATTTTCCAATTCATTGCCTCGTATAGTTTCATCAGTCAAATTAATTGAGCTATCCGACTCATTAATGGATTCGTCTTCTAATTCATTAAAATCTTCCAATACTTTATTTTGTGGCAATTTTCCCATTTTTTCTTCAAACTTTAATTTAAATTCATTTAAATTATTTCTTAATTTAGTGACAGAACTTTTTGTTCCTGTCAGACTGTCTTTATTTTTCTTCATATTTTCTTCAATTAGATCAAGTCTTCCTTCCACTTGACGAAAGCTTTTCGCCACCGTTTTTTCGAAGGAGCGTAATTGAGTAAGTAAAGTTTCAAAAGTTTTATTCTCCTCAGGTGAAAAAAGATGAGGGGCAAAGTCTGAACCAGACATTATTATTAGTATTTTAATCTAAAATTTCTTGCACACAGCAGATTATTAGCACACAGCTTTTTTTTAATGCACACAGCCGTCTATCCGAAGAGACGAGATAAATCAGAATTTCACACAGAAATTCAATGCACACAGCGAGTCTCACACAGAGATCTCAAAAAGCACACAGCGAGTTTTCACACAGAAAACCCAATAAATGCACACAGCAGGATTTCACACAGAAATCCTAAAAATATTTTTTCTTTAAAGCACACAGCCAAGATATTTCACACAGAAATATCCTTTTTAATTTACTTTTAGTTTTTAGATCTCCGTTTATCGCAACGGGTCGTGGCACCAGTATTATATCCCGGTTCCAAGCTAACTAATTAATTTAAATTCTCTCAAACTTTTCGTTGAGGTTCCTAATTTATATTTGAATTGTTTTACTCAAACAAATAATACACGTTTATTAATTCAAGTTTATTTTCAACAAATAAATGAGTTTCGTTTAAATCAGTTTTAAAGGTATTGAGTACAAGTATGAAGGTAAGGTCAGTTAATTTTGAGTGGATATTTATATGAATATATGAGGGCGGGATATGAGAGAGCATAACATGTAAGGTTGGTTTATGGGTCATAAATAAGTTTGATAAGGAAAGTTGAATGTTTAACTTAAAAGGAAAATATATTTAAATGATGTTGAGAGGGAATGTTTTAAATATAAAAAGTTTAGATAAAAAGGTTGGAGCGGAAGTTTTTTGAATATATGGAAAAAGGGCATGTTGTAAAAAATGTTTAAGAAAAAACAATTTTAAATTAAGGAGAAATAACATTTAAAAATTGATAACAAAAATTTAAACAAATTAGGGACTCAACAATAAAATTTTAAGAAAATAATTATTTATCTATTTATTTTAATACGGATTATTTTAGAAATATTTACTTGTCATATAGATTTATTTCTTAGCTTCGTAATACATGTTAAATTTAAAATTTAATTTAGGTAGTTATTTGCCAGATTAAGTTATTTAATCAGATGCATAGTTTAGCTATTTTGCCTAAAAAGTTTTTTTTCAAACAGCCGTAAAAGATAAAACTTAATGGATTTGTAAGATGAAAGAATTATTAAAAACCCATAAAACTTGAGTTTACTGCGGAGTTACGCGTTCAGTAAGGAGTTTGTCGTTGTAGAACTTGTAATGTTAGGATCGGGGGGTTTTGCCAGAAAAATCTGATTTCAGAGGAAGGGGTACTATCTTAGTTGAAAGAGTTAATTTAAATGTCTTTAACTACATATAAACGTATTATTTTTATCATTTTATTTTTTTATTTAGTATAATTTTTAGTAAAATAATAATTAAATAATTTTATAATATTGTTGTTTAAGAATATATATTCTAAATAATAATTTTATTTTCATAGTTATTGTGTTGTTGTGATTGGTTGCCAAACATTTGTATTTATATTTGATGTCATTCCCATACCAAGAAGTAAATTTTGTGAATTAACATTTAATGTGTTACTTGGAGATACTCCTGTAGACGCAAAACAACTTGCTGCTAATTGTTGTATTTGTTGTTGCATTACTTCATTCATTGAAGGACCCCTAGCAATTAAATGGGAAGTAGAATCTGTTACTAAAGATAATGATGATGATGAAGAAGATGGTAATACTCCCATTGATGAAATATTAAAATTGAATGGGGAATTGGAGAAATTTGATGGCTGAAATTAAAGGAAAATTAAGTTTGAAAGCCTAAAACCCAATATGCCGTTATAATTATGAGGTAGGTCGAATGACACCAAAATCGACCTGCGGTTTCTTAAGTGGCTGAGGTATATTACCTCAAAAATTAATATAGTTCAAAAAAATATAGTTCAAACAAATTTTTATGTGAAATGCCCGAATTACAAATACTAGCTCAAACACAATTATTTTAATATTAAATTTAAGGTTGTTTCAAAAGGGTTTGATTTAGTAATTGATGGATAAGTGCTCAATAGATCACTCGCTCCAACAGATATAGGAGCTTCGGTGACATAATTTAAGCGATTTAAAATTCTCAAATTTAGAATTCGAGAATTGGAACAATGTGTTAATTCTATATTTTTTCCCACCAACTGTTACTGCCGACAATGGTAACCAATCTTCTAAATACCAATCTTATAGTACCTTATCTTATGTTTACGAATTTATAAGATTAGTTAGAGTGAGCCAAGTTGAGAGGATTTTAGGGAAATTATTTAAAACGGATTATTTTTAACTTTTGACGGAAAAACAAAGTGAAAGACAACCATTATGATTATTTATCATTAATATTAGTTAAAATGAGATACTCCAGGTTTTGCCGCATTAACGAAGAGAGATTGTCGCGCAGTTTCTGCTATAGCAGTAGATGATGATGCTTGGGCTAATTCTGAGTTTGATTGAATAGTTTGGCTTGAATTTTGATTTCTATTAATTAGTTGTATTATACTACGTTGAGATGATGTTGAAGACGATTGACCACTTGTGCTTGCTGATATCTATAATTAAAATGTGAATTTGAATACTAGAAAATATCAAATCCCTGACTAACACACACATTAAAAATGATAGATGATGGGACAAATATTTTATGAGCAAGGATAAACATTAGGCCAGATCACTTTAAGCGATCAAGCACTAAAACATCCATCCTTACTAAACTCGGTTTAATCTCTATTACTTTTCTAATTAAAATAATAACATCAATTTATAACCTCCCTCTCACGTTGTCTACGGTCAGAAACAGCTGAATCAATTGGCTGACAAAAATGAGGAAAATTTGAAGGTCTATCAGGGTTTGAATTGACCAAACGACCTTGACGAACCTTTTAAATCAAAGAAATTTAATTATAATTTGGTTACAAAATAAAGTTACAGCAATTTTTGGAATTCTCCTTCCATCATTATAACGTTTAGCATGCATACAACCAACACATTTGTAATAAGCTGTTTCTATTCCACGTTTATCCTGGTAGGAAGAGGAATAGCAAAATTCCTAGAGAATTATTTTTAATTATCCAAGATTTCGAAAAACTAACAAATCTCTTTCCTGGCTGTAAAACACTCTCATACAAAACCATCCTTCTTTTATATTTTGTACATCCATAATTAACTGCGCCAAAGTCAATAGTTGGTGCCATTTCTATAAGAATTAATATAAAGAAAGTTTTTTCATAAATAATTATAATGAGTAATGAATTTTTCGACCACTTTATGGATTGAACTAATTAATAGAGAGGGCAATTAATCTTTTTTTTGAACTTTGAGAGAGGGTAATTATTGTTTCAACTTCTCACTAGAGAGTTATGGAGAGGGCGATTAATAGAGATAAAATTTTTGAGTGGGGGGGGGGGTAAGGGGTAATCGAGAAAATACGTAATCTAAAAATTAGTAAAAAATTTTGGTAGAAAGTCCATTAAAAATTTTTAAGATGGTAATTATTTTTAACCAATGGCTCGGGGGTAATTAGTTGAGGGAGGGTAATTATTGAGTGATCATACATTTAATTACAGTCTAAATTTAATAATTATAAAGTGCGATAAAAAATATTTAATATAGTATATCGACAGAACTTCACTACGTTGAAGATTATAGTATAAGACTATTATTCTGTTTGTTAAACAGGTAGATGTTATATTATTAAGAAAATATAAACAAATTTTAAAAATTAAGCAAATGTTATCTAAATATAGCTTTATTAAAATTATTAAAATAGCACAGCTAAAAACAAGACTTACTTAGAAAAAATCTAAAAAACAAAATATTATGGGAATATATGTATACTAATAAATAACTTATAAACAAGGATAAAAGAGAAGATCTTTGTTTTCGTTAAAAAATCTTTTAATAAATCTATTTACTATTTAGAATCATGAGCCAGGTATATATAAAATGTTCGCCATAAAAAATATTTTGAAATGTTGGCACACCAAGGAATTATGATTTTTAAATGAGAAAGCCAAAAGAATGAAAAGCAAAGTATGTATAATATGGAAATGGGGGATTATATTTAAAATTTTTGGACGTTTAAATAAGTTAAATAAGCTTTCCTTTCTGTTTTTTTTTTAAATTTATATGAACAGTATATAAAAGGTACATAAATTCTAAAAAAGGTAATCTCTTGAAATGAGTTCACAATTCTGAATATTAAGTCAAAATATTTTCTTTATATACGCTTTACCGTCCATAAAGTGACATTAAATTAGAATTACTCAATCCTACGGATAATATTTTTCCATGTTTGAAAACATGTAGAAATGAATAAATGGCATAACGCACCAATTCAATGCCATGCATTGTATTTGAACGTCATTTCATTCTATTTCAAATTTTACGTTATTGAGATGTTCATTAAATCGAAAATTTTGTTTTTTAAAAAAATTTTTTTCACATGTTCAACCATTTTTATCATAAAAATGTGAATGAAACATGATACAGTTAAAATTATCTAGCTCCTGTGTAATATAGGTATAGTTAAACTCTCTAAGTTAGGCGATATCTTTATTAATTATTTAGAAAATACTTCTAAGAACGTCACCAAATATTTTAGTAAGATTAACAGTGCATTAAATAGTTCCGAAAATTAATAAGAATTATAAAAAAAATACTAAGTGAAATTTTAACAAATGCACTTTAATAAATTTTTAAGGATTAATAGAAAGTTTAATTTGTGAAGATTTCAAAAGATAAAAGATTAATCACGTGTTTGTAAAATTATTTATAAAATTAATAATGAATACAATGT